TGCTTATCTACTCCTTCTTATATTCATGTTAATCACTCTTATACTATTCATGATAGATCTTATAGTACTTAAGGTCCTCCTTAAAGGCCTTCTATCCAGCTGTTAATAGCTTAGACTGTCGCACCGGTATCTTAATATTAGCTGCTAGGGCGTAGTTTATGATAACTAGTGCTTAGATAGCTACTAGTTGCATAATTAGCGGAGTTACTAAATTAGGGTTAACCTTATCCTATAGATTATATGTAATATAGCGCGCCTACAGCTGCGTATACCATCCTATAAAGTTGTTATAGTCGTGGAGCGTTATCTCTACGCGCTAAGGGGTTGATTAGGCCGTTATGGTTGATTGGTATATTAGTTGAGGCAGTGAGACTCTTAATTATTAGATTTACACAGTGATTTAATGAATATTAGTAATCTAGAGATGAGATGGGTTTATTATCTGGTGTATTGGCCGAGGTTCTATCTAGGGCGCCCTTTGGTGTGGGTCTTGGCAGATAACCTATCCTAGCCCTGTTTCGGCCAAGTCTCGATATCCTGCCTCCGGCCTCCGCCCCAGCCATCTAATAACAACACTAAGATACTTAGAACACGCCCTCATATCTAATAATAGTAAAGCTTAATATAAAGCTTTATATGCCAATGCTACCTACACTAGAGACTACCCTCTAGGAAGTATAAACACTAAGTAACGCGCGTAAGCTAGAGGCTTAATTAATATTAATATGTAATAGGATATAGAGGTATAGAAGCTTATTACCTATATCTATTATTAAGAGACTTAATCAGCTTAAGAAAGGCTCTATAATAGTAATATATGAAATAGCATTAATGCGCGATTGGATCAAGAGCCTTAAGAAAGTAAATAAGACTACTATAATATATAGAAAGCGCAAAAAGAAGCGTATCTAGAAGTAAGGCACCCTATTAAAGGTAGAGGTAGAGGAAATTATAGCTTAAAATAAGGTTAAGTAGCAGCTTAAGGGGGAAACACGTTAAGGTAGGGCGTAATTAGGTACTAGTTAGTAGGCTTCTACGCACTGTAGGCACTATAGGGAGACTGGCTATAACTTATGAATATATAAGAAGGATACTAGAGATATAGCTTAATCTAGCATAATGTATATATTCTATTATTTTATCTTATTGTTGAGATAGATTTCTATAAAGTGGTAAAAAGTTAGTAGGGTATGCCGCTCGCTTGCCTACGCCACTCACTTGCCAGGTACGTTAGCTTAGGGAAGTGTAGTAAGTATTAGAGATAGGGGTCTAAATATGACGTATCTATTACCTAAAATAGGTTTTTATAGTTAGTTACTAAGAAGAAGAAGAAGTTAGAGGCGTAAATGTTAGAGGTATATAAGGAGTAAGATATAGTATTTAAGGTGTTATGTATTATGTGTTACGCATATAAAAGAAGATTAGTTAGTAAAATAGTTAGCGCAAAATAA